CCTCTTTTTTCCCCCCCCCAGGCCAGTGCGGGCGCATGCGCAAAGGAGTCCTCGCCTTCCCTGAGGAACCGCCTCGGAGACTCTCCCCCTCCCTCCTGGACGTCGCCAACGGCTTCCGAACCTTGGCAGCGGGAACGTTCCACGGGGCCGGCAACGGATACCCGGCCGCGCCTGCGCAGAAGGCGGGCCGCCCGGTGAGGCGAGGAGAGAAGAGGCAGGGCGTGTGGGGATTCTGGGGAGTGTAGTCCCAAGCGGCGGAAGGGGGTTGTTGTTGGGGAAAGGAACCTCCCTCAAGCCCTGGAGGGGAAAAAAGGGAGCCACCCCCCCTTGAGACTTTTTTGGCTATTCGGCCGGACTCCAACTCCCATCATCCTCACCCTGGTGGGGGCCGGGGGGGGGGGAAAGGGCCCTGTGCAGAAGGCGGGCCGCCCGGTGAGGTGAGGAGAGAAGAGGCAGGGCGTGTGGGGATTCTGGGGAGTGTAGTCCCAAGCGGCGGAAGGGGGTTGTTGTTGGGGAAAGGAACCTCCCTCAAGCCCTGGAGGGGAAAAAAGGGAGCCACCCCCCCTTGAGACTTTTTTGGCTATTCGGCCGGACTCCAACTCCCATCATCCTCACCCTGGTGGGGGCCGGGGGGGGGAGAAAGGGCCCTGTGGCAAACTTTAGAGGCCTTATTTGTTTTGCAGTTTTAAAACTTAATGGTTTTTTTTGTTTGTTTGTTTCATATTCATTGTGCAGTGCTTTGGCAGCTTTTTTAGCGAAAATGACAGCCTAGAAAAAAAATAAACAGTAACCTGACGAAGAGGGTGGAAAATGGATCAAAAGGAGGCCCCTGAAGGTCTCTTCCCAGAGAGCAGGAAGGTGGGGATCCCCCTTTCATGGCTTTTATGCCATTTGGTGGGAGGTCTGTGTAAAAGGGCTTGTTAGTAGACTGGGGGGGGGGGGGGAGGGGATTATTGCAGAAACACCCGGCCTCTTCTCTTTTTCTGCTAGGAGGAGAGTGATAAGCGAAAGTGGAGTCTACAAAAATAAATCTTTTCACCTTCACAGTCCCACAAGGTTTTTTTTACCCCCCCTCCCCTCCCTTTGGTGGTTTTGCCACCACAGCTTCTCTTTTCTGCTCATACAGTTCATCCCTGTTACCTAAGCACCCTTGCCCTATCATCGGGACAGGTCAGGCGTCAGCCTCTGCTGCGCTGAGCTGAATTCAGAATTTCATCTCCTCAGTCAGTGCCAGTGGGCTGATCCGATCTGTAACGGGCCCTGTTCTGGGTATTGTAATATTAAGATGCCGTTTTGTATTTTTGAAAGGTGAAGATGAATCCAGGCATGGATGCCAGGAAACCCTTGCGCGCCAGGAAAACGATGGCTCCAAGCAGCCGCAAGCAAGTGGATGCATTGAACGAGATGAAGAATAATTGTGGAGCAGAAAATACCCCAAATGATGCAAAAAACCATCATGGTCAGTTGCAAACGGTTGAAGCACACAGCGTGGTTCAAAGGTCTGTGACGGGACTCAGTTGCAACTCCAAAACAGTATTCCCTCCTCAAACGTTAAAAGAACCCGTCACTAATTTAGTTGTGAATTCTAAAATCTGCATTTATAATAGATGTCAAGAAGCATCCAAAGATCCTTCATGCAACACGTGTACTACAGACTCTGAGGTTAAGCAGCTTTTGAACTCCGAGTCTTTGCAGGAAGTATTCTATAAGTGGTATAGACAAGAATCCAACTGCCCCTTGATTAAGCCCGTGGAGGTACACTTGGACTCTGCATCTCTTCCCCAGCTTCTGGACTATTCAGACAAACAACTTTCCGGGGCTGCTTCCAGCAGTGCCCTCTCTGTCCTAAGGCTGGCAACAGAAACAGAGGGGGAACATGCCAGCCAAACTATGCCAGTGTTGGAAGCAGAAAGTGCCACCTTCCAGTTGCAGAAGGAAAAGGTTCTTCCACATTCTACCAAAGCATCAGGTAAGCACATTTATTTTACCGCTGCAATTTATACACTGCCCCATTAGTGCCAGAGCACTATTCTGGGTGGTTTACAAGGATTAAAAGCAAGATTACACAACAGAACACTAAAATATAACACAAAAAGCAATAATGTGGCCAGAGCCACATTAAAAAAGAGACAGTGGCAGTAGCAAATGATTCCAGAAAAGTGGAACTGGAGGTGAATGTGTAACCCTGAACCCTTTGTAAAATTGTACTTGATGCTCCTGGAGACATGGCACAGTTGCATTTGGTGGACCCTAAGACATTGCATTCTTCGGCAAGGCTTGGGTGCTTCTTATCTCCTTGTGGTCTGAGCATTTGTAGAGAGGGACAAGGCCACGTCTTTCTTTTCCAGTCTTGCTGGATTGGTAAACCTGTTGCAAAAAACTGTGCTGGGTTTTTCTGACAAGTTAGAAGGGAGAGTACATTTCCACTCAGCGCCCATGAAATTTGTTGCCTTATGTTGCTGAGATTTCCCCAGCTCCATGTGAAAATTGTCTGTCGTGCTTCCTTGAAGATGACACCAAGAGGAAGAGGGGAAATTCCGAAAGCAGCAATGGCGCCTCTTCCAAGTACATCAGAACATCCCAGGAGGGTAGCAGTAGCATCTCTGATAAGACACAGTCTGGGTTGGCAAAGGTAAATGGCTGAGCTTGGTGTAACAGCTTTGTTTTTCAGGAGTTTCCTATAGCTGTTCGGTGGGGCAGGCGAGGATGTTGCTTTGGACGGCAGTGAGATAACAACCGAAATGGCTTTCAACGTGACAGGCTGTTTAGAAAGGGGGCTTGGGGTGAGCTTTCCTGTAGATCAGACGTAGCACTGAAATGACTTTGTAACTTGCCTTGTTCACCGTCAGCTTTGCGTAACTACGACTGTTTTTCCTTAATAGCTTGCCTCAAGCCCTTCTGGGGCTGGAAAAACCTCCAGGTAATGCTGGATGCGGCAGAGATTCTGTGCTGAGGGTCAGGATTGGGGGGGGGGGCGATGGTCCCACTTGATGGAGCCTCACCAGGTCCAAATAAACTGTCAGGATCCCCAGAAGTTCCCATCATGCAGCAGCATTCTTTGGCGGCCTTTCAGAAATTGGGCTCATTTTCTTAGGCTGCTGCAGCAATCCGGGAATGCCCTGGGGTGGAAGATTCTTCATACCCACCCTCTAACGTTGCCTGCCTCTGGATCCGAGGATGAAAAACTGTCTCTCACCATGGTTTTGGACTGTCCTTAGAAGTGCAGTAATGAGTAGAAGAGGCAGAGAGATGGCGAATGAAGGAAATAAAGCCAAGAGTAAAAAGGAAGGAGCCAGATCTGATGACCCTGTAAAAAAGCAAGGCATTTAGGGTAGCAGCTGGTCTACAAGAGAGAGGATTAACACTGCTACTAAGTATGTGGGTACCTTGTATCTTAAGAATTGTATCTTGAGTAAGTGTGTGTGCGTGTGTGTGTTCAATTTCTCATTTCTACAGATCAAGTGTTTTATCCAAAAGCAGCTGGATGCTTCCACAGAAGAATTAGAGCACCGTATACAAAGTTTAAATGAGCGCATCAGTCACACCCAATGCCTTCACAAGCATGGAGAGATAGCAATGAGAATCATGGTAAGGCTGTGTTCCATGGAAAGCTTGGCTTCTCTTTTGTTGTTTGGCCCCTGATCACAAACTTCTCAATGGGGGCAGGCTGCTGCTTCCTACAGCTTAAATGTTCTCCCTGTCCGTTTTTGCTGGCCTGGGGTTATGGGTTGGCCTCACAGATTCCCCAGCAAGGGGAACTCACTGGTGACCCTGTCTGGAACCCCCCTGGCGCGCTGCCCTTCTTTCCCATCATGCCTCCTCCCCAAACACTTCCAGGCAAGCAAGCTGTGACAGGAGGAAGGAAAGGGCCCTCCTTTGCTCCTCTTTGCTCTCCTTCTGGAGCAATTGGGTCCAGAAGGACAGGGCGAGCGGAAGGCCGGGAGCCGGGGCAGAGCGGGCGCCAAGTGAGGCTGGGTCTCTGCAAAGCCTAGAGCCAGAGCTGTCTCGACAGCCGTCTGAATCTTGTGTAGAAACGATCGTCTGGATTGGGCCAAGCCTGGACTGGAAGTGAGTTTTCACATCTTCCAGAACTCTTCATTTGGTGTAGATGTTATAAACTGGGATGGGGGGGAAGGGAGGAGAAGAGGAAAACCCAAAAGGTTTGGGTAAACAGGTTGGCTGTGGCACTTAAAAGCATCCTGCAGGCAGAGGAAGAAGCAGACTGTAGGGCATCTTGCCCCTCCTTTAAGTGCCGTACAGATTCCTTCATCATCTTGGCAAGGCCGTAGCTTCAACCTTTCTACTCTTACTTCTCTAGTCGCTTTGGTGGGAAGTCTGAGAGCTGCCCCCGTTTTGAAATCCTGCCTCTTAAAGTGGCCAAAGGATGCCTCAAAATGGCCAGGAGGATTTTTTTTGCAACGTGTGCTGCCCTTGTTTCAGACAGGAATCACTGTGGTGGGTGACCTGCTGTGGTTTTCAAAACTGGAGTCACTTCCCCATTGTTTCTGTTTGAGAAGCTTGGACCAGAAAAATCACCCTGAAACGCCCATTGCATGTTTCCCCCTGCCTGAGGGCAATGGGGACCCTTGTGTCCCAAAGCTTTCCTGCAATCTGGTGCCCGGCCGACTCTTCTTCTTTCCTTCCAGAACAGAATCTCTCAACTCGAGATAAACGTTAATAGACTGACTGAATCCCAGAAGACAGAAAAGTTCAGGAAAGTAAGTTCCGATTCGGAATCTGGCACCATAATGTATCATGACACACCCAACCAGACAAGCCCATGAAGCCCTTTGCCCCGTGTTGCTGCCTAGCTGCAGCGCAGAACAAGTGTGTGCACCTGACTGAGACCAGCTGGGCGCCCTTTTCCCACTGGCCGAGGCCTGGGAGTTCAGTGGTTTCCCTGGGAGAGATGGTCCCTCCCTAGGCAGAGAGGCCAGCTGCTTCACACTATCGTTGGGCCTAGGGTTGCTCTGCTTTGCTGTTATTTTAAATGGGGTGGGTGGGGCTTAAAAGGGTGGACCCTGTCTTGGCATCCTGTTGATCCCTAACCCATCCCTAGACCTAGATCTCTTCAGGAGAGCTTGATGTTCTCACCTCCTCCTGCCTGCCCTTGAGGTCACTGAGGGGCATGCCACCGAGCATGGGGAGTGGGAGGCCATGGTGGTGGAGGCAAAGGCCTTTGCACATTGCCCTGAGTGTTTCTTAGTTGAGCTCTGACATCACGTGCAGGGACACCAGGCTTGGGGCGGGCATAGGCACCTCAAGACACCAGAGGGAATATGCTGATCCTCCCACCTCCGGCAAACATATGAAAGGGCACTGTGATCTTAGAGCTAACACTCTTCCAGCCCACAAGGACCAACAGTTACCCTCTATTCTCCATTAATTGGGCCCAACAGCACTGCCCCTCTCACGTGCGATTTCACCCACCGTGCTCGCACGACTCTGCCCTCCCCCCACTCCACTCTCGTGCAGGGTTCATTGCGACCAGAACCAAAGGGGCTGAAAACAATCACTGTGGGTGCACAGAGGAGGAGGAGGAGGAGGAACACTGCACAGAGGGGAGCAGAGTTGTGCGTGTACAGGCACGCACCTTGATTGGGCTTTGGTGTGCAGCGTTGTGTCCAGTTCTGAGGACTGTGTTTCAGGAAATACATAGACTTATCCGAACAAAGAAGTGGGCAAAGAACAACCTCCACCCTTTCTTGCCAGGCTGGTCTTCATCCACAAAGCAGAATGTTAAATGCCGCCCCTTCTCGTCCTCGTGACGCAAGTGGCAAGGTGGCGCCACCCAGCAAGCCGCCTTCAAATCAGTGTGAAACCCTTTCTAAACCTGATGAAAGGTGAGTACCCAGAGACCGCCGTTGCCCTTGTTCTGCATGTCTCTGGCTGAGAAGAGCAACCGTACCTGAGCGTTCATAGCATAACATTCATAACAGGAAAGGCAGCACCAATTAACCCTGTCTTTTGGGTTCAGGGCTCTTAAAAGTGGCTAAAAGACTGGATTTCTAGAGAGTGAACTTCTCTGTGGTAGGAACTCACTCCGTGACTTGAGACCAGCTGTTCCCTCGCAGTGTTGCTGATGGTAATGCTACCTTGTGGGGTTGTTGTGAGCCCCACACAATTGTACGTGCAAGTGTTGAGGAAGTGTAGCATAGATGCATAGTAGTTCCACTGCTACCTGGAAAATATTATTTCAGAACAGAGCAAACAACTGTAAATCATTTAAAAAGAACAAAAAGTAAACCGTGGCCCTTTGTCCAAATTTGCTGGGGCCTCCGACGTTCCTTCCCTCGCCCAGTGTCTAGCGCGCTAGTGGTGCGCTATCCGTGCTGCAGTCCACCCCCTCTGGAGGAAGGCTGCGCCGGGAGATCTCTGTGCCTGAGGACATGGTTCTCGCATTCAGAGTGCTACATCTTTTATGACTTGCATCATTAATAGATCGTGTCAAGGAGAGGCTGTTTATGCATAAGATAACAAGCGTCCAGGAAAGTGTAAAGAGAACAACTTGGGGCATTGTGCATTTCTTAAAACTGGGAGGGATTGTGCTATTTTGTGTGTCTGTTTCACCTGTTGAGGCTGCTGCTGTTCTTCTAACTCTGCTTTGCCATCTCAGGTCTGATGATGTGCTTTGCCTTGGTGAAGTGAGCAGAAAGTCAGACACGCGAGCCCTGAATCCTGCAGGTACGGAAGACTGAGCTTTTCGTTTCCTTATTTGCAAAGGCATGTTTCAGCCGTGTGCGTTCAAGAAAGCCTGCTTACTGGCACTCAGTCCCCTCTCTTCTCTTTCTCTCTGTCTCTCAGTGCAAAAAATCTCAGTGCACCAGTGGGAGGAACAGACGAGCTGGAGGCCTCCTGGTACGTCTTGGTTCAAGGGCCTGGCTTGGTACCTCTGTACAAAGCCATCTTCGTTTCAAACCTGGTGACTGATGATTAGGTTCTCTGTTATGTATGCTTGTGGCTCACAAGGTCATTGGTGTGTGATCCAGCAGAATTGCAGCATGAGTAGTAAAATGCCAGCAGGCAAACCTGTCCGTTCTGATCTTAGGCCCACCGTTGAGCCCTTCACAAAACAATGGGCCAAGCAGTTAACAGGTACCTTTGAAGAGAAGGACAGTTGGAACCAGCAGTTAGGGGGCGTCCCTCCTCCAGAGCTGAGAGTTTATTTTTTATTTTTTACTTTAAAAAAAAAAACTTTTTCACGCTAGCACGCCTAGTTGCCGATGGATTTTGGGAACTGTGGTTCTTTTTTTAAAAAAATGCCGGAGATTCCTGTTGAGTTCTCTTTGTCTAGACGAACCCTCCTGTCCTCTGTCCCCACATGTAAAATAGGCCTATGGCTAGAAATGGCCTAAGGAGGAAGGGTGACAGGACGTTGGCCCATTCAAATCAACGTAACCCTTAAAAAGAGGCTGCCCGCTCTGTTTTGAAGAGTAGCATCCTGTTTTAAAGAAGTCAGTTAACTATGGTGTCCCTTTGCCTTTGCTCTCTGCGATAACATTAATTATGGAATACTGTAGTTTTAAATTAATTAGGAGAATTGTGCACTTTCAGTTTCCTTCCTGTCTTAGACGCGAGAGCCACCACCAGCTGGCAGTCTGTGAGGATGGCCCTAAAATGTTCGTTGTGTGACTCAACAGTCAGGGCTCTTCCAGCAAGCGTAAGGATGATGCTTTTGACAGGCTTAGTCCTGTTCGACCAATGACAAGGGAAAGAAATTCTGGGCAGGTGCTGAGGAAATAGACAGTTCCTAATTTTGTCTTTAGATCACACAAATAAAAAGTCTTGCAAGAAACCCGGCCCCCATTCCATGGTTTGTTGCCAAATCCCTGTGATGACCAATTAAAGAAAAAACATTTCTGTGGAATAGCAAAGGCCTGGTCCCCAGGAAGCCTCCGGTCACCCTATGTGGGTGTCCCTGGGGTTCCCCAGGAGTCTGCCAGCTGTCACAGCCAGTTGCTGCCTTCTGAATCTGGTGCTGGAATCCACCCAGCCAGCCAGCCAGCCTTTGAAGTGGAATGGAAGAGTCTTGAATCCTGCCCCTGCAGGAGTGTGGATGTGGGGTTTTTTTTCCTAATGGGGGATGTGGCATAATATAATTCACATATTTGGTTGGAGATTTTAAGGATACTCTAAATTGTCTTAGCTAATGGTGCTTTGGACCAGCATGAATTTGACCCAGCTCCAGGAGGCAGTGGAAGACAGGAGGGCCTGGCGTGCTCTGGTCCATGGGTCATGAAGAGTCAGACACGACTAAACAACAACGTTTTGTTTTTAATACATCAAAATCATATTTTTATGATAATGTCTTAGTTTATTGTGATTTTAAGTATTTTTATGTGTGTGTGTGTTTTGTTTATCACATTACACTTCTGTCTTATCCTCTTAGATATTCAGCAAAAGGATGGTTCTGCAAACTCAGACACATTAGACAAAACGCCCTGCGACCCCAAGGTCAGTTTCTAGAATTATGTATTCCCCCCCCCTTTAGCATAATCCATGTTCCAGTTAATTTTTCCTCATTCTGTGATGAAAGACTCGGCATGAGGAATGGCTGTGAGGTGTCCCACTTTTTGGGATGTTAGAAAACATGTCTTGATGACTTGCTGTTCAGCCCATGTTGTCCGTGGCGTTTCAGGTCTCAGTGTGCCTGGCTGCTTTTTTAATCTTTCCATAGTGTTGGAAAAGCCTGGATTTTCAAGGGGGTTAAGCCGCATGAACCCCACTGCAGCAAAACCAGCAGGGATTCTTGGCACCGCCCCTTGGACACTAGCATACTCCTGCTGCTTTGTGTGGGCTGGGTCTGCCTGATTGGTTATCAGAGAGAGGTTCTCTGGAGCTGCCAGCTTGAGCCCTTAGTTCCTGGCCAGGAGAGGATTGGGGGCTCCCTGACTCTTTAGACCAATTCCAAGCAAAGTTGGCTGGACGGGAGTTTGGAGAAGGGGCCTGGAATCCCTTAGCGACATGAACATGGATGATTCTGGAGTTGGGGAGCAATCCCCCAAAAAAGTTACTTTCCCCACCTCTGATAGGAGGCAACCCCTCTTGCATTGCAGCAGCCAGGCTGCAGAACTCAAGCCCCCTGTGAGGTCTTATTGTCTGGTTTTTACTGTGGATTTTTTCCCCATTTTAAGTGGGTTTTTGTTAAGGTCCAGGAAACAACAGAAAATAATCTTGGAAAGGACCTTTTTTTCCTCCCAGCAGTTGTGTGCCACCAGAAGGAATGATGCATCTGCTTTGTTTTGAATTTAGCTATGCTTATTCCAAATGTTTCTTACTTTTTGCCATATATAATGTGGAATACAAAGGAATATCCATCCTGGAGCCTTGCAGGCAGGGGGTTGGTTGGCTGAGGACCCTAAACCTTGACGGGCATTGAGCAGTCATTACCATCATCTTGGGATAACTCCAGTGTCAATTATGTTCTGTTTTAGTTGCAGAATGTAGTTTTGATTGACTTAACTGATGAACAGAGCCTATTTCCTAAAGGTGAGCCATTTTTTAAAAATCTTAGTTAATTTCTTGTAAATGCTCATTACATTGTTTTAACATCCATCAACTGTTTCTTTGGGGAGAATGGTCCAAATGCTTTATGACAAAGTGAGAACCCCACCCCTAAAAGGTCCCAAAAATATAGGCAGAAATTCCTCCTGAGCACAGGTTCACAATGTTCTGTTGTTGTAATATTACGTGTATGTGGCAACTTCTTGAGAATGGCCTGAATGGTGGTTTTTCCCCCCATCAGGGTGAAAGCAACAGGAGCTCAGCTTGCCTCTGTTTTTAGAAAAGACATGTGAAAGGTGGCACAATGTTTAAAAGGGGGCCTTTATGTATTTTATGTCAGCAGGCCAAGAAACAGAGAGAAGGGTTCCCGCGCAGGGAGCGTCAGCACCCGAGAGCCAGGCCCCGGGCCCATCCCAGTCGGCCTCCCAGCTGTTCCATCAGGTATTTAAGTTTGAAACCAAGACCAGAGAGGCAGACGGGACTGGGTGCCAGCCCAGCAGCATTGGGTGTGGACGGGAGGCATCCGGGCCACCATTTCCCTCCGGTTGTGAGAGGGAAGCCATGTGGAGACCCAAACAGGCATGGCGGTTGGCAGCACAAGCACAATGCTGGGACTTCCTCCAGAGCAGGCGTGCCCAGCAGTGCCCGGAAGGAGGGCCACAGACCCTCCTTTGCTGTTGAAACCCAATCTCTGGCATCTCCAGGGAGAAGGATCCGGCTGAGGGGAAGACCTTGGACCACTGCTGGCCCGTGAATTGGCTGCCCTGAACTGAGCGGTGCACACGGCCAGCAGGCGGCGTCTGTTGTTCGCATGGGCGAGGGCCACGGTCACTGCTTTGCTGTGACAAAACCATGCTTGGGAGGGCTTGCCACAGTTTTCCCCTCGGAGCAGCAGGGGCGGAGGTTCTGATGACATTCTCCATGTACTGTTTCTGGCTGGTTGAGCCATTCTCCCTCGTGGGAGGAACCAAGCAGGAGGAGCCCTTGCTGAGGTGCCAGGGCCAGTTCATTCACTTATGTCAGGTAGCTGTCATGGCGTACACAGGCTATTTCTAGAGGAAGGCATGGCAAGGAAGGAGCAAAATTGTTTGAGCCTGAATGAGCACAGGGAACTCCTTTCTCACAGTATCTTCCCATTCTTCCGTAAATGGCTTTGGAACAGAACACCTTGTTGTTTTTTTCCAGAAGAGCCTAGATTTTGGTTTGCCTCTTTTGGTGCATACGTGGCTGCTCGGCCTGCTTCTGCCTGTGCAGAAACCGGATGGAGTGCCACGGAAATATTCTTCGACGTGCCCAGGTGTGGCTTGCCCTTTTTCTCTTGAGCTTGCTAAGTGGAATGTACGCTTCCCCAGGTTTTCGAAGACTTTTCCCACCTCCCTCCATTACCAAAGATCCGCTTGGAACCAGAGCCCATGGATGGATACCGAGGGACGCTCCCGCCCGTCAAGCTCAGGCTCTGCCTAGGTCACGTCAAGAACCCCAGCGGCATCGGCCTCCAGTGGAACGTCTGCCAGGCGGAGCCGAGGTGTGCCCAGATCGAAAGCTTCCACTTGTTCATGTGCCTGGAGCAGGGCAAGAACAGTGTGCCAACCGACTGGATGAAGATAGACCGGATCAAGGCTTTGGACCTGCCCATGGCTTGCGTCTTGTCTGAGGTCCCGGATTCCGCTAAGTGTTACTTCACCATGCAGTCGAGGGACATCTATGGACGTTACGGGCCCTTCAGTGACATCCAGTCCATTCGGGCATCGCTCCACGGGAGGAAAAGAGACAATTTTCTTTCTTTTTGTCAAAATAAAGTGCCTTACTAGTTGGGATTTTGCTCAAAGTGAAGCTGTTACAAAAGACATTTCTAAACTTCTCCCTGCTCCCGAAAGCATACATTAAAACAGGTTTCTTTCAGTGATGAGCCTTGTAACCTTCTAATTTTTATTAAGATCCATACTGCAGCCACGGCAGCTGGCCGAGAGGCCTCGCCAGCCATGCAAACCCGAGCTTTGGGGTCCTCTTGATACCTACCAAAGTGTGGGAAACTCTCCATTCTACATTTTCTTACAGGAATACTCTGGGCCCAGTGCTGTGTGGCTGTTGCCCTGTGAGCATCCTGATCTGGACACATTTAAGCCAGACTTTTGTTTCTGCCAGCCCCTGGCATTCTGCTTCCTTCCTGCCTGTTGCCCTGAAATGTTGTCTGTCCTTGTTCTGCAGCCCCTGTCGGGCAAGGGAGGGCGGGCAGGCTTCCGGGGAAGGCAGAGCAGGTGGTGGTGCTTTGTTGTAGCTCCTTCATTGCCCCTCGGGTGCCGCATCCAGGCTCATCTTGATGCCCACTGTTCACAAGAGTAGACTTGAGCCAAGGAAGCCTCTGGCAGACCTATTCCTGCTTTTCAGCCTCTTTCTCAGGAGAGTCAAAGTTTTATCTTCCAGCCCCGGGAAGCTTCCTTTTGCTCACCTGCCAGTTTCTGAACAGCACCCTGGGTCCCTGTCCGTGTTCTTTAAAGTGGGAGCTGCCTGTGGTGTACAGGGTGCCAGCTGCTGTGCCTTGGCGCCGTCTGTGGGCTGCCATGCCCAGCTCTGTTTGCCTTCTCCTCCTCCTCCCTCCCCCCCCCCCCGCCCCCCCGTTTTTGTTATTTCCACCCGGCCAAAAAAAGAGCATAATTTTCTACAGTGATTTAGTGAGGTGCTATCAGAAACAGAACCGACATGTGGTGTCAGTAAAACACTGGTTGTAATTTTATTTCCATATACACCACGGGAATATAAAACACGGAACAACTGCAGCACAGTCGGAAGAGTTAAAGCTAGCCATCTTAAAAATAAAGCCCCTAAGACATTCAGAATGTTGTGGGTTTTTAAAGGAAATGGTGGCACTCGTGGAGGGGGGAGGACGTCTCCTTGTATTCTAGAGGAAATGCAAAAGCTCAAGCAGTGGGTTTTGTTTTAGAAGGAGGGTCAGTAATTAACAGCCCGGATCGTTTGGTCCTCTTCTAAATTGCTGTCTGCTTCTGGTTTTTACAGGACCAGAAATATAATTATGTAAATACTGCTTGATATTTTTTATACATATAAAAAACTTTTTTAAAAACATAAATATAAATGTCATTTATAAAATCCCACCGCCTGGCCTGTTTTGTTCTTCTGCATGGACAACAGCCCTTGGTGGTATTCCGTAAAATGTCTCTGAAGCTGCCTGGCCTTAGAAGGGTGGCACCGGGGTTCAAGGGAGGGAGGTGGGTGCTTGGGGCCTGGGTAGTCAAGACGGCTTCTTTCCCAATTTCTGTTCAGATTTTGAGAGCGTGGTTATTTTCGAAAGATTAGATTAGGCATCCTTCAGAGACTATGGTCACATGCTCTGTATGGAGGACTTGGAGCAGCATGTAGGAGGCCAATTCAAGAGTGACAATCCCTTCCACATTGAAGACAAATACAATCTGTACCCCGCCTAGCTCCCTGATTTTGCTGGTTTCGGGACTGTCTTTTTGCCTCGGCCTGCTGGACAAGGGTCTCTTCAAATTGGGAGAGGCCACAACGCACTGCCTGCCTCCAGGCTGAACACTCAAGAGGTCAAGATTTCCCATCTGTCGAGAAAGTCCATTCCTAAGGCCTTCCAGATCCCACTTGCAGATCCAACGTTGAGCCATCACAAACTACAGTGCCCTTCATTTCCGTCAGATTAAAGGTAGGACAGGTCAGATGTGAAAGAAAAAGTTGTTATTGTGGTTCTACTAGTACCAGATGCAAAAGGAAATGTATTTAAAATGACCTTCTATGCCATTTGCAGGAGTTTGGGTTACATCCTGCACGCTGTTCCCCAGGTCCTTGGAAGGCCTACGTCAAGTTGCTGCGGGCACCTTTAATTAAAACTCAGCTGGTTGTCTGTTTAAAAGGCAGATGACCTTAGTTGGCAGACAGTTACGCAGGGGGACGCTAACAGACTTTCTCGGGAGTAAGTCCTGGTGATTTTAGCGGGACTTTTTCCCCTAGCAAAGGGGTTAAAGGTTGCTGCCTTAGAAACCGTGACCGGCATTAACAGAGATCCAGGAAGCAAATCTTTGTTTCCCTTGCAGAGGAGCCCAAAGCGTGTTTTCAGATGTCTCTCTGGTGCCAAGGCCCCTTCGCTGCAGCTTTCAGGAGAGCACAAGACACGTTTTAGCAGGCTCTCCTGTGCAAAAGGTGGGAATCCTCACCCGGCGCAGCCCGAGGTGCTTCGGAATCCCCTTGGCCACCTCCCACGCCTGCCCTCAGTCCTCAAAGGGAGTTGCCCCCCAAGAGCGTTTCTTGGGCCAAGGGCTGAAGGCACTAACCGGCCTGAGGGCTTGCAAGGCTTGAGAGGCGGGGAAAACCCAAATGAGTTTGGGGAGAAAGGCCGAGCTGGAGCTGAAGGTCTGGCATGCTGCGGCTCCAAGGGGTGAAAAGAGTCAGTGTGAGGTATATAACTGTGGTGACTGGACTTTTTGGTTTCCCACTTCCAGGGTTTAAAACCGCCTCCCTTGGCGAGTGAGGTGAAATAGTCCAACCCAGAAGAGTTGGCGTTGCCCTGCCAAGCGCCACGAGGGATGTTCCCTTTGCGTCAGGAAAGGAGCGCCTGGGCTTGACCTCCGAGCTAGAATCCCCTTGCCAGAAGGATGGCACGCCAGGTGAGACACACTCTGTCGCTCAACGGGCGCGCCGGAGAGGCCGCCCACTTGGGCCCGGAGCAGCTCAGCCGCAGAGCGCCTTCCCGAGCCATACCGCCTGAACTCTGCAGATTGCTTTCGGCAGAGGAAAAAAAAACCTTAAAATACATTCTCAAAGGGTTTTAATATTATTATTTTTTTCCTTATAAAATTCCTCTGAAAGGCCAGGAAGATGTAACAATGAAGGAAGACTAATTCACGCTAAAGCGGAGATGACCCTCGCAGCGTGGGCTGGCAGAGCTCATTTTCTGCCAAAGGCTCCGGATACGCGGATTGAGGCCGCGGGTAACTTGGACCCTCTCGAGGTAGCTTTGGAGGCAAAGATTTGACCGTCTGCGCGCAAGTGTCCCAAAGCGGTTGTTTAGTCTGAGGGAAGTCCTGGCCTCGTGACCCATCAAGAGTGCTCCTTCTGTGCCCCTCGAGCCGCCGTGCGCAGGACTTTTGCGGCCAAGAGGCTCCTGGCTGCCGTGCGGCCTGGGCATGGGTTGCTGCCCCGGGGAGGGGGTGTCTCAAGGAACAAACCGACGGTGCCGTCCCCACCACCACCACTCTGGGTTCACTATCCGGGAACCCCTCGCCAGGGCGTGCTTGGCCCTGAAAGAGGAACGCCGAGTGGGTGGAACCACGCGTCCCCCAGACCCGTTGGGGGTCCAGGAGCCACTCAGATGGCATAGAACTCTCCGTATCTCTGCAGAGAGAATTCAGGTGCCCGGCTGGCCGTGGGTTGCTTGCATGGCGCTCTTGCCAGCTGTCAGCAGGAATCCCGGAGGGCCCCCCACCCGCTGCCCGGTGTTTCGTTAACGCCAGCCCACAAGACGGCTGCTTTGGGGGCCACGTCACAAGAAATGGCCCAAAGAGACCCCACCAGTGATGGAGGGTTTGCCAAGGTGAGTCCCTGAAGACGGCAGGTCGTTTTCATATCTGCCATCCCTACCTGGGTGGCTCGGCCATTCCGACCCACCTGCCGTTCCTTGTCTCTCACAGGTCCTTGTTTCGCACCAGGGGCCGGGAAAGGAACGGCCGTAACTTTGCCACAAAACTGCTTCTGACTATATACAAAAAAATTAAAAATAAAAAAATAAAAGGGGGGGGTTTACTGGATTTCCAGCAGGGACTGCGTGGAGAAGGGGCGGGTTAGGGTTCGGGCTCACTCCTGACTTTGCTCTCCTGCCCTTTCATTTGCGCTTCCGTAAGATGAGGTACATGACGCCGCTCAGCAAAGTGAAGGCGAAAGCGATCCAGGCCAGGACGTACGAGTATCCGTACTGGCCCCCGCTCACGCCAAAGACGGCGTAGTGGGGGTCTTTGTGCAGTTCTTCGTGTCGGTCGGTATAAATGGAGGCCGCAATCATCACGCACAGACCTGCCAGAAGGAGTAAGGAAGGAGTCTTACTTGGGACACAGACAAGCCTTGGGGTGGGTGGGGGGTGTTTCTGGGTTCTGACCTGTTTTCGGTGGGAGGGGGGAAAGAGATCCCCCCCCCACCCGGCGTCCCATAAAGCAGGGAAAGGCCTTTCTTTGGCCTGTGGGGAAGATTTTCCCCATGAAAAGGATATGGTTTTGGTGTGTTTCGGAGTGGGGTGGGGGAAGCCACTTCCGCACGAGGAAGCCTCAAAGAGCAAATATCCTCCTTGTGCAAAAATGGAAGGGGGGGGAAAGGGGGCAATCCAAACGAAGCCTTGAACTGGGTTTTCCAAACCAGAAATGGACCTTCTGGACTGTTTTAGGACGTTGGAGGTGTCTGTGGAGGAGACTGAATGCAGAGCCCCCCCCCCCAAAAAGCTTGAAATACAAATCCAGGAGGATTGAGGGCCATAAAGTTCCACAAGCCGCGGTGGCTTCTCTTTTTGTGGGTGTTCTAAAAGGCGGTTACGTGGTCTCTCGAAGGCGCCCTGGCTGGAGCGTGTCCCCCCCCCAGGGGAGTTGCACCTCCCCTCTGCTGCTGGGACAGGAGGAGGGCTGCCGGTATTTTAGGATGGGGGGGCGGCAATACTCACAGGACAGGAGTTGCAGGATCGACGTCAGAATAAACCTCTCCCCTTGCTTTAGGCGGAAGAGTTGAACGATGAAGACGAAAAAAGCCGCGCAGCAGAGGATGGTGGACAAGATCATCGTGGCTTGAATGGCCTGTATCGCTTCATAGTCTGCAATTAATATGGTTGTGGGACAGTTTTAACAGCCAGGCCACAGAATCCGCCTGCCTGGAAGCACCTGAAAGGCCACGCTTCGCAGGCTGCGCTGTGTGCGAAGGGCGATGACGCCGCGGAGACGGAGAGAGAGTGCAGGTAGGCCCTGGATATTCTGGCCAAGGGCTAAGATTCGGAACCTGGAAAAGCTATTTTTGGGGATTGCAAATGCCAGGAGTGGAGATCCCTCACTGGGAAACCCCCACAGTTTCCTTTTTTTTCTAATTCCATTCTCCCACTGAAAAGTCCATTCCCCCTTCTTTTCCACTGTTATTTTTTTTATTGGTGCCAGTCAAAACGTGGGGGGCCCTTGTAACTGTGTCTGAATCAGAGGACCCCCTCAGAGGAGAGACCCCACCTCCCCCAGCCCTGCCAGCGCTGACGGTCACCGTCACAGCCAAATCAAACTTGTATGGGCGCGAGACCCTTGCTGTGCGCAGAAAACAGCCGACCGAGAAGAGTGCCAGAGCTATCTGTAGATGCTGGGAGTTGGAAGCCCCCGAAAGTAACTTTTCCAAGCTCCGATCTCATCCTGTGTGTGCAAAACACCTCTTGAGTCCATTTCCTCTTTAGGTATTTGCTCCTTGCGCTAACTCAGTGCCTTGCCTTGCCAAACGTTT